GGAGTTTGTTACCATCAGACCTGCCTTACAAGAGATCTTGAAAGGCGCACTAAACATGGAAAGTAAAGATCATTACCAGTCAATAGAAAAACACTCTTAAGTGCACAGATCAGTTACATTATAAAGCAGCCACACAAACAAGCCAGCACAATAACCAGTTAACAAAATAATAACAGAATCAAATGCACACACTTCAATACCAATCTTGAATGTAAATGGGCTAAACGTCCCAGTTAAAAGGCACAGAATGGCAAGCTGGATGAAGAACCTAGACTCCCCCCAAAAAATGCTGTCTTCAAGAGACCCATCTCACATACAATGACACCCGTAGGCTAAAAATAAAGGGATGGAGAAAAATCTACCAAGAAAATGAAAAAATAAAAAAGCACGGGTTGCAATACTAATTTCAGACAAAACAGACTTTAAGAAAGATTAGAAAAAAAAAAAAAGACAAAGAAGGGCATTACCTAATGATAAATATTTCAATTTAACAGGAAGACTTAACTATCCTAAATATATATGCACCCATCACAGGAGTACCAAGATTCATAAAGCAAGTTCTTAGAGACTTACAAAGAGATGTAGACTCCCATGCAATAACAGTGGGAGACATCAACACTCCACTGAAAGTATTAGACAGCTCATCAAGGCAGAAACTTAACAAAGATACTCAGGTCTTGAACTCAAGATTTGACCAAATAGATCAGATAGACCTCTATGGAACTTCTCCTCCCCAAAACAACATACTATACATTCTTCTCATCATCACATAGCACATGCTCTAAAATCCACCAAACAGTCAGATATAAAACAATCCTCAGGAAATGCAAAAGAACTGAAATCATACCAAACACCTTCTTGGACCAAAGGGCAATAAAAATAGAAGTCAAATTTTTAAAAATCCCTCAAAATCATGCATTTACGTGGAAATTAAACAACATGCTCTTGAGTGACTTTTGGGTAAATAATGACATTAAGGCAGAAATCAAGAAGTTCTTTGAAACTAGTGAGAACAAAGACACAACATGCCAGAATCTCTGGTACACAGCTAAGGCAGTGTTAAGAGGGAAATTTATAGCATTAAACACCCACAACCAGAAGTTAGAAAGATCTCAAATTAACAACCTAACATCACAACAGTAAGAATTAGAAAATGAAGAGCAAACTAACCCCAAAGCTAGCAGAAGACAAGAAATAACCAAAATCATTACTGAACTAAAGGAAATTGAGACACAAAAAAACATTCAAAAGATCAACAAATCCAGGAGTTCGTTTCTCAAAAAATTAATAAGGCACATATGCTACTGGTTAGACTAATAAAGAAGAAGAGAGAGAAGATCCAAATAAACACACTTAGAAATGACAAAGAGGATGTTACCACTGATCTCACAGAAATAAAAATAACCATTAGAAACTGCTACAAACACCTCTATGCATACAAACTGAAAAACCTAGTAGAGATGAATGAATTCCTGGACACATTTTTCCTCCCAAGACGGAAGCAGGAAAAAATTGAATCTCTGAGCAGACCAATAATGAGCTCCAAAATTGAATCAGTAATAAATAACCTAACAACAACAACAAAAAGCCCAAGACCAGATGGATTCACAGCCAAATTCTACCAGATGTACAAAGAAGAGTTGGTACCATTCATATTGAAAGTACTACAAAAAAAAAGAAGAGGTGGGATTCCTCCCCAAATCATTCTATGAGGCCAGCATCACCTTGATACCAAAACCTGGCAGAGACACAGCAACAAAAAAAGAAAGCTTCAGGCCAATATCCCTGATGAGCATTGATGCAAAAATCCCCCACCAAATACTTGCAAACTTAATCCAGCAGCACATCAAAAAGCCAATCCACCACCATCAGATAGGTTTCACTTCTGGGATGCAACACTGGTTCAGCATTCACGAATTAATAAATGCAATGCATCACATAAACAGAACTATAGACAAAACCACATGATTATCTCAATAAATGCAGAAAGGCTTTTGATAAAATTTAACATTGCTTCATGTTAAAAAGTCTCAATAAACTAGGTATTGAAGGAACATACTTTAAAATAATAAGAGCCATATATGACAAACCTACAACCAACACCATAGTGAAAGGGAAAAAGCTGGAAGCATTCCCCTTGAAACCCTGCACAAGACAAGGATGCCCCCTTTCTCCACTCCTATTCAACATAGTATTGGGAGTACTGGTCAGAGCAAACAGGTAAGAGAAAGAAATAAAGAACATTAAAATAGAAAGAGAGGAAGTCAAACTATCCCTGTTTGCAGTTGACATGATTCTATATCTAGAAACCCCCATAGTCTTAGCCAAAAACTACCTTAAGCTGATCAACAACTTCAGCCAAATTTCAGGATACCAAATCAATGTGCAAAATCACTAACATTCTTATACACGGACAACAATTATGCCAAGAGCAAAATCAGAAATGCAATCCCTTTCACAATTGCCCCCCCCCACACATACACACACACACACACACACACACACACGAAATACCTAGGAATACAGCTAACTAGTGAGGTGAAAGATCTCTACAATGAGAATTACAAAACACTGCTCAAAGAAATCAGAGATGACACAAACATGGAGAAACATTCCATGCTCATGGATAGGAAGAATCAATATTGTTAAAATGATCATGCTGCCCAAAGTAATTTATAGATTCAATGCTATTCCTATTAAACTACCAAGGACATTCTTCACAGAACTAGAAATAAAACTATTTTAAAATTCATATGGAATGAGAAAAAGAGCCCAAATAGCCAAGGCAATCCTAAGCAAAAAGAACAAAGCTGGAGACATCACGCTGCCCAACTTCAAACTACTACAGGGCTATAGTAACCAAAACAGCATGGTACTGGTACAAGAACAGACACATAGACCAATGGAACAGAATAGAGAGTGCAGAAATGAAGCCACACACCTTACAACTATCAGATTTTTGACCAAGCTGTCAAAAACAAGCAATGGGGAAAGGACTCCCTATTCAATAAATGGAGCTGGGATAACTGGCTAGCCATATGCAGAAGATTGAAACTGGATTGATTACAGTCTTAAATGTAAAACCCCAAACTCTAAAAATCCTAGAAGACAACCTAAGCAATACCATTCTGGACATAGATTGATTACAGATTGAAACTAGATTGATTACAGTCTTAAATGTAAAACCCCAAACTCTAAAAACCCTAGAAGACAACCTAAGCAATACCATTCTGGACATAGAAACAAAATGTCAAAAGCAATCCCAATAAAAGCAAAATTGACAAACAGAATCTAATTTAACTAAGGAGCTTCTGCACATTAAAGGAAACTATCAATAGAGTGAAAGGACAACCTATAGAATGGGATAAAAATATTTGTCAACTACACATTTGACAAGTCTAATATCCAGCATCTATAAGGAACTTGAACAAATTTACAAGAGAAAAACAAACAACCCAATTAAAAAGTGGGCAAAGGACATGAACAGACACTTCTCAAAAGAAGCCATACATGTAACCAACAAGCATATGAAAAGAAGCTCAATATTACTGATCATTAGAGAAATGCAAGTCAAAACCACAATGAGATTCCATCTGATAACAGTCAGAATGACTATTATTAAAAAGTCAGAAGAAAATAAAACCTAACAGATGCTGGTGAGACTGTGGAGAAAAGGGAAAGTTTATACATTGTTGGTGGGAGTGTAAATTAGTGTGGCAATTCCTCAAAGGACCAAAAATAGAACTACCCTTTTACCAGAAATCCCCTTACTGGGTATACAACTCAGCAATCCCATTACTGGGTATATATCCTAAGGAATATAAATCATTCTACCATAAAGACACATGTACATGAATGTTCATTGCAGTATTGTTCACAAAGGCAAAGATATGAAATTACTATGCCCATTAATGACAGATTGGATAAAGAAAATGTGATATATATATATATATATATATATATATATATATATGCACCATGGAATAGTAGGCAGCCATAAAATAGAATGAGATCATGTCTTTTGTGGGAACATGGATGGAGCTGTAGGCCATTACACAGCAAACTTACACAGGAACAGAAAACCAAATACCGCATGTTCTCACTTGTAAGTGGGAGCTAAATAATGAGAAATCCTGGACACAAAAAGGGGAACAATACACATTGGCCCACACTTGAGGATGGAGGGTGGGAGGAGGGAGACGATTAGTAAAAATAACTACTGGGTACTGGGCTTAGTCCCTGGGTGATGAAATAATCTGTACAACAAACCCCTGTGTCATGAATTTACCTATATAACAAACCTGCATATGTCCTCCTGAACCTATAATAAAAGTTAAAAATAATAAATAAATCTACATGAACCCCCTAAAAAAATTCTTTTCCCATCAACATTTTACAATGATATCTATGGTCCTCTCTTTCCAGCACACTGAAGATTTATATGTTTAACTACACACACATACACGTTTTTCTCTTTGTGTCTCTTTTCATTGTTTTTAAGATAAGATGTCTTTTCCAAACCAGAGGTTTAATTCATCACTATTGAGGTATTATTTTCTTGTAATCATTTATAATGAAACAAGCATTTTAAAATGCTTGTCAAATATAGTTTGGAATGTGGATGAAATACCATGAAATGAGTATAATACAAGTACCCAGTAAAATGCTGGGCACAGAACACATGCTTTTATACATGTTTCTGAAATTAAAATTAACTAAATCATACATCATCATTCATGCAAATAACTAAAAATATCACACTGGAAATTGTTCCCTATTGTTATTGATAGCTCCAAGGTAATTAAATAACTATGATTATATCCAGCTTTTATCTTTTCTTTACAGGAACTTCATTCTCCAACAGTGAAAGTTAATACATATCCACAGACCACTATTAGGAAATATGTAGTACAAAATCCTGAACAGGTAAGACACAAACTTTTCCCAAGATATAATTCTTTAGAAGTTAATTGCTTAAACAAAAAGGCTTAATCACTTACCAGATCCTGAAGATCAGATTGTTGGACTTTCTTACAGTTACAAAGTAAATTGCTGATTATCAGTATCAATAAATGTCATCTTTAATGCCAGACAACCAGGCGTCTATATATTCTGACTCAGAGATGCAATACTTCCAAGCAGGTTGGAAATTATTGGGTTGTAAACATTTTCCTCTTCTATGGTCCCACCCTTATGCTACAAAAGACTTTTATGCACTTTGAACGAAAGAAAAAAGGGACAAAGTTCTTTTACAGGCTTCACATAAAAGCTCTGTCAATTGCTACACCAGGGGTTGGAGTTTTCAGACTATTTACCTTTGCCATGGAGATATGGACTAGGAAGATGAAAATTAAAGGTCAAAAGTTAAATAGTGCCCCTATGCCTGTATTGCCTGTGGTGTGTGAACTTTTGTGCCCAGAAATGAGTTTTTTAGAAAATTACATTATTATTGTTTACTGAGATATAAATCCTTACATTTCACAAACTGAGATTCCACTATAATAAGCCATCCTCAACACATGCATTTACATTCATGCACACATACCCCTTTTTTTAGCTGCAACAGGAAGCTCTAGGAGGTTGTAAGGACATCGGTTTCACAATTGGCAACAGTATGATCCAGAGAGGACTACAATAATTCTTTGCTTTGCTCTTTATTTTTCTGCCATGATGTGAAGCCATCCTGCCCTTCCCTTATAAGATAAAAAATTTACTTCAGCTGTGGAAAGGAAAGGGTTAGATTAGGGTCCTGCTTCCTACTATTCTAAGTGAGTGGGGAAGATGTACTAAGCTTCTGCTAATATCTAAACCCTTTCTTCTTCATTTACTTATTTATTAAAAATAATCTCATGGCTCCTTAGCTAGGCAGGCTGCTAGTTGTGCATGTGTGTCGGTATGAACCTACGAGGCTCTGAGTCGAGGAGTGATTGTTTTGGACATTTGCTTGAGTTTTCATACATCCATGTAAATATTGAAAGGGCATGTTATTACAGTTAAATCAGTTGCCTGTTCCTCCTTTTGCAGAATCAAATATTTATGCAATGAATCTGAAAATGATGGAGGTAGGGAGGGAGAGGTAGGGAGGGGGAGATGGAAAGGGCCTGGGAGAGGATAGCATATCTTTTTCTGTTACTTGGCCAGTCACTTCACACATTCCTCTTCTTCCTTTCCCTCTCTCTTTTTCTTTCTTTTTATACATAATCTGGGGGATATGCATACTTGGATGCATATTGCACTTGATACTCCTGGCTTTCAGAGTTAGTTCTAGATACCCATTATTTTCATAGTGTGAGAATTGCTGTGCTTGCCTAGGATATATCCAGAGAGATTTAAAATGTCCAATCATTTGGATTCCAATCCACTTTGCCAGCAACTCTTACATGACTTTGGATGAATCCTTATTCTTTAGTTAATAGGGGAAAAAAAATTAATAACTATTGGGTATATACTCCGTGCTGGGCAATTTCAATATTATGTCCTGGTTAATCCTAAAAAGGTGAAAAAAAAAATGGAAGCAGAGAGAAATTCAGTCATTTACTCAATAAATATTTATTGATTGCCTATTGCATTCCAGAAATTGCCCTAAGAACTAGAGGATAAAGCAGTAAACAAAACAAAGTCCCAACCTTCTTCAACTTAAGTTCCTAGCTAGTGCAAAACCATTCAATTACAAAAGAGCAAAATTGGAACTGAAATTGAACAATAGAGAGATGGGACTGAAACATTTGCAAATGAAGGACAATTGATGATGGAGGTGAATTAGGATCTAATACTCACTTATGCCCCCCCTTACCCACATGTAGTTACGAGAACGGAGAAATTAGAAGTATATATGCAAATACCTAACATATTGGAAAAACTGAGCCTACCCCTGTGAGACCTCATCAACATGACTGTGTTCAACTACAAACTTGTTCAACTTGTAGTTGAATACAGTCATATCGATTTTTCTCTCAGGACAAAGTCCCAGCAGAAGGTTGAAGAAAATGGTCATTTTAAATCATTTAACTCTTTACATTATTGAGGAATGAAGCAAATTTCAAGTTTCATGATGCTTTGTAAATGAAAAGTAATCTAACTTGTTTTACAAAATAGCTTGAAAATCCTGTTTAGCTATACGCCCCATTTTATTTATCTAAGTAGATTCTTTTTTTGTTTGCTCTTTTAAATCCCCTCAGGAGAAGATTCTGGTTTAATTACAATATTTATAATAAGCTGAGCCTTCTAAACAGCAATTTCATCCTCTTTCACCTCCCAGCTTGTCTAATCTTTATTTCTTTTTCCTGTAATTAAAATAATCTCAATCCACATGTCCCATTATGATTTTTTCTATCTCTGTTGAGTCTGTTTATTTTTTGTTATTCCTGATCTCCATTTGTCATCATTTAATCTAAGGATTTATGCATTCTGGTTAACATCTGATCCAGAAATGAAGGAGATACATTTGTTCCATTAGTGGATATAATCCAATTAATACTAATCAATTTCATTAATTTTCCAGTTGTGAAGCTCCTGCTATGGGGAAGACACTATACAGTCTCTCAACAGAAAGTGAAATAAGACATGTTTCCCAAATTAAAGGAGCATACAGCTCTTATCAGGGAAAGAAATAAGACAGGTCCACAAATAGCTATGTAGAATACGTGATGAGATGTAGGATAGATGCCATGAAAGGACTACGGATAAATTATTATTGGAGTTCAGATGTCAGAGATAATACATTTGTTTGGGGGAAATCAGGGAAGGATTTATTGTGGTATTTAAGGTATTAGTATGATTAATCTTGTTGTTAGCATTATTTTACTACTAAGGAAATGAAAGTTTGAGTAAGTATAACTTGCTCAGGTCTTCTGATGCTAATTCATCACTCTATATCTTTTCCGACAGCTATTTTAGATGGTAGCTTTAACAAGATTCGATGACTTACTGGATATGGAGAAAAGTCAATATGACCCTAAGCTTTTTAGCTTGAGACACTGAGAGTAAGGTGACCCACTTAAAGTGATTGAAATGTGAGTGGGAGGAGAAGTAGATTTAGAAAAGGGTGAAATTTTGAGTTTTTTTTGAACCAGTAGCATTTTAGGTGCATAGAAACAAAGACACCTAATAGGCAGTTAAAAAATGACTCAAAGGTCACATTTGACAGAGATGTGGGAATCATTCCTCTTAAAGGTATCGTTGAAGCTATGGGAATGAGTGAGATCACTAAGAGGTAATGGAGAAGATTGGGTCAGAACTTTGAGAAATGTCTACTTTAAGTGAACAGAAGGAAGGAGCCACTTTCACAGACAGAGAGGTTATCAGCAAGGGATGTGAACACACCGTAACTGAAGCAAATGCAAACATGGGGTGCTCAACCATCTCAAATGACCAAAAGGCCCAAGAAGATGACGTTGGAGAAATAGAGTTTGACCATTAACAGTAATAAGAAAGGCTAAAGATGCAACAGAGAAAGTAGACAAATGGGATAATATTCTGGAAGACATAAGAAGGAATGGGATTCCAGGTACAGATGGAGAAATGACTTCAGGAAAAAAGAGAAAGAGAGAGAGAATGCATCTTTTTCCTTAAGTGGACGGAAGGAGCAGAAAAAAGAGATTTTTGAGATGTGCAGGAAAATAGAGAGATCTAATTAGATAGATTATCTTGGTTTTCACTGTAAATAGGAGGAGAAAGACGGAGTATAAGCACAGGAGTTGAGGAAAATGAAAATATTATCAACGTTATAAAGAATTTGATGAATACAAATATAACCACAAAGGTTGGAGGGTCTACTTGAAGTTGGATATCTTCAAATTGTAACGAGCCAAATCAGCAAATCTTTTTTAAAAAAAATTTCCACTAAGGTTTTGGGGCCTGGGAACAGTAAAGTAGATGTTGGGGATTATATATTTTGTTAGATGTGAGAATTACTGCCAGAGGTTCTAGCTGTTACAATTAAAATTATAAGATCTGCCACTTTGAAAACACCTATTAATTTTTAGGGTGGATCTGGCACCAATTCAAATGGACAGGTTGAGAAAAAGAAGGTGCCAAAATAGTAGAGTTGTCTAGCAGCTCATTTGTTGAGAAATCTAAAACTTCTGATTGAATTTATTTTGTTGACTTATTTTCAAAGAATTGTTTATTTATATCAACTTTTGATTTACTTTCTTACAGATTTGGGGAAAATAATAGTCCCCTAAATTTGGAGGTGTTTTTTTTCAGTAAGTCATTCAAGTAATATGACCAAAATATTCGAGACAGAATCAACATCGTTTGTGCCTAGACCATCTTTTGTCTTGTAAAAAAAATGATTGTTCATCGTTTATAGTGAACTTCATTTCACAGAAAAAAAAAATTTCATGCTTTTGTTAAATTTGTTTTCCCTCTCTTAGAGGATGGTTACATTCCTAAGATGAAGGTTCATATCATTCCTTCTCACTCAGTCATCTATTCACTCACTATGTGGTACTCAAGACAGTCAAAGTCCCTGCCCTCAGTAAGCCTACTTGTGTATATTTTTGTAGAAAAGTTATAAGGGAATTATCAATATTATTTAAAACACAGTATGGATTTTAAATATTATATTACAATATTATTTAAAACAAATGTAATTTGTACATTAAAATTATAGATTAAGGGTACTTTAAAACACATGATATTACTTAATATTCTGCATTACCCTCCCTATGCTAAGAAAACTGAGCCTCTGATAAGGTTAATGGCCTACCTGATTTTCTGCAGCACATAGGAGGAGGAAGAACTGAAATATAGGTTTTATGACTCAATGATTTCTCTCCCATTATACTTTCTTCCACTGATTTTAGTAGTCAAACCCAATGGATTTGTAGTAATCCAAATCCAATCCACTTTATAATTCTCATCTGTTGGCCACTTTGAAACATTTTTACCTTTGACTTCCTACTGCTTCTTGAAAATTACTCTTCCCTTAAATTACAATATTTTATCCTCTAAGACCTCTTGAGACATGTCTAGTTCTATATTTGCTCTTCATTTGACTATTCAGCAATTGCCTGGCTTAATCTAGCACTAGTGAGCAGGTGATCTTGATATATATAATAGATCTGTAGCCTTGCACTCCCCACTTAGTTCCAGACCTGCATTTTCACCTATGTGTTAAACATCTATATCTGAGTGTCTATCCAGACATTTTTTTGTAAAAGAGTCAATTTGGGAGCTATTTGCAATCATTTGCCA